TTCATAGTCGTGATACGTAGAACCAGGTTTCGACTAATACAAGTAACCAAATAAAGTAATTCACCTGCTAAAAAATCTGGAATTTTTTCTAGAAAGCCAGGGAAAACAAATCTGGAAAATATATAGCCATCATAATAAACCTAACATTACATATGACGTTTCGGCCATTTTTATTTTTTATTTCTTTGGAATAATCTTTACTGCGGCATCTACCCATTTGTTCTTCATACAAGATAATCATAAATTGTTAATTCAAAGAGGGGAAACAAGGTGAATCAAAATGCAAATATTATATTTTCAAATCTACAACTAGAGACTCTAAAAAAAGTAAACAAACAAGGCTGGAAATAGTGTCTACATTATTTTCTCAAGCTACAAATCCCTATTTTGACTCCAATAAAATTGATAAGTACTGTTGCAGGTTTGATTCACTTTGATTTGTACTTTTGATGATCCCTATTACCCTGTTTGAATTAACAATTTTTAATTGTTTTGTTTCTCAAATTTTTATGTCCATTCGTAGAGAACAAATTTTAAGCTACATAGGTGTATATGCATTCAACTGAATATTGGCTTTTTTTTTCTACCCAACCATTATTTACTAAGCCAGGTGGTTTTGTGCCTGAGGTTTCGTGTAAATGTTTAACAAGTGAATTAGGAAAATCAGTAAAGTAAATCATCACTCACAAGAGTAGAGAAATCTACTGTGGTAATCGTCTACTGTTAGAAAACTCACTGAAATAGTCGCAGAAAACCACGTAGAGACAAAGTACGACAGTGAACTCGAGAAATGATGATTTTTCGGCGCGGCAGTTTCCAATTAATGTGCTATAAGTTGCACAAATTATTTTCCAATTAATGTGCATTAGTAAAGTGGCGGAAAGTGAAGGACTTGGAGAAATTCTTCAGGGCGGAAAAACGAAAGCGCTTGAATTAATGTTAGTTTTTTTCTATGGCATACTTAATACTGCATTCATTACTATTGTCCAGGTTTCAGTAAAATATTTGTAGCTTTTTTTTCTGTAGCGGTTTGTAAGATTATAATCAATAATAATGTTACGTCTCTGGTCGTTTGTTAATTTCCCGTAAAAATTCCATCCGAAAAACTTCAGTGATACAAGTCCTTTCTTAAATAAAACTAGTTTATTCTTTCTCAATACAACTTTGCAGTACACTTAATTTCCACAGTCACTTTAACTTCAACACACGCTAGAATTCACAACGATTCACGCACTTTACTTACGGCTTGACTCGATTATCTGTCTCTATATCTCTCTGTCTGTAATTATTCTCTCTAGTCACTTCTTGCTGGTCATATATATACAAAGTAGAGGGCGTCTGGCAAACACTCGAGCCTTCACCAACGTTCTAGATACTCATTACGTGTTACCAGCGTCACGTGAATTCCGCTGTCGTAACAATAATAAGCCTGGAGACACTGTTATAAATATAAACATTGTTTACTTTAATAAAACGAAGTGTTTCCTACTACTATAATGGTGCTTAAATGGCTTCTACATTTCTGTGATGCTTGACTGGCTTCGAATTTTAGAGAGTGAAAATCTTGACTTTCAAGAATCAACTTCAAAATAGCCCTACAACCTTCGCAGGAGTTTGTTCAGTAGCTGTGGATTGATATTGGCGCAGTATACGTAGCCATTTTTAATATACGCTTCTGTGCTTGAATGACTCCAAAAACAAACTTAGCCAGTAGCGATGAAAAAAACTGATAAAATCTCTCCTTCTCTTTCAAGAATCAACATAAAAATAATCCTATGACCTGAGCAGGAATTTTTTCCGTAGGTCTGCCCAGATTTGAATAAAATATTCATAGCCGTTTTTTCTGTTCCCTATTCACCTTTTTAAATTGACAGTTTTTAATTATCTTGTTTAGTACATAGGATCCAATTAAGTATACAGAGACCAAATAATCTAATTCATAGATGTAATATGTAGAGCCAAATTCATAATACCAGGACCAAATAAACTACTTCATAGTCGTGATACGTAGAACTGGGTTCACAATACAAGAACCAAATAAACTACTTCATAGTCGTGATACGCAGAACCGGGTTAACAATACAAGAACCAAATAAACTAATTCACAGCTGTAGTATGTAGAATCTGGTTCACAATACAAGAACCAAATAAACTAATTCACAACTGTAGTATGTAGAATCTGGTTCACAATACAAGGACCAAATAAACTAATTCACAGCTGCAGTATGCAGAACCGGGTTAACAATACAAGAACCAAATAAACTAATTCACAGCTGTAGTATGTAGAACCGGGTTCACAATACAAGAACCAAATAAACTAATTAACAGCTGTAGTATGTAGAACCGGGTTCACAATACAAAGACCAAATAAACTAATTCACAACTGTAGTATGTAGAACCGGGTTCACAATACAAGAACCAAATAAACTAATTCATAGTCGTGATACGTAGAACCGGGTTCACAATACAAGAACCAAATAAACTACTTCATAGTCGTGATACGTAGAACCGGGTTCACAATACAAGAACCAAATAAACTACTTCATAGTCGTGATACGTAGAACCGGGTTCACAATACAAGAACCAAATAAACTAATTCACAGCTGCAGTATGCAGAACCGGGTTAACAATACAAGAACCAAATAAACTAATTCACAGCTGTAGTATGTAGAACCGGGTTCACAATACAAAGACCAAATAAACTAATTCAAAACTAGTATGTAGAACCGGGTTCACAATACAAGAACCAAATAAACTAATTCGCAGCTGTAGTATGTAGAACCGGGTTCACAATACAAGGACCAAATAAACTAATTCACAGCTGTAGTATGTAGAACGGGTTCACAATACAAGGACCAAATAAACTAATTCAAAACTAGTATGTAGAACCGGGTTCACAATACAAGAACCAAATAAACTAATTCAAAACTATAGTATGTAAAATCTGGTTCATAATACAAGAACCAAATAAACAAATTCATAGTCGTGATATGTAGAACCGCGTTCACAATACAAGAACCAAATAAACTAATTGATGACCCTTGAAGGTCGTTTTTTATCACTATTGTTTGTACAATACAGTAAGAAAGGTAACAAACAGAGGTCGAATCCCTGCCTGTTTCTTTGTTTATTTGATCTTTGCTGTCCACTTTAGAAATGAAAATACTAAATACGTAACGTGCATACAATAATTATGGCTTTTGAAGTAATATTTTTTTTATGTTTGTTCCCTCTATGCCACAACTGTTCTAAGGTATCGTTTAAAATCACTTTAAATCCATCAATTTGAACTTAAGTCGTCTAACATACTTTGTACTTGTACCATAGGAACCTATATATTGTTCCTCTGTTGTTAAACACAAAGCTACACAATGGGCCATTTGTGCTGTGTCCATCATAGGCATCGAAACCCAACTTTTAGTGTTGTAAGTCCAAAGATTTACAGCTGTTCTACGGGGTGGGGTTTGGGGCTCAGAAATATCTTCCAGATCTAAATGTACTCACCCTAATCCGAAAGTTATCAGTTACTACGCCTGTTGAAATATTTCAAGAAGACACGGTTACTTTGTGAATATCATTTCACTTTTACGCTTTTACATCAATGTCATATATATTTTGATAATATTACTGCCACGTGCTTTTTTTGGAAAGTGTGATAGGTAAAATAGATTAGATATATCTATGTTTTGTTGTCGTTACATAGCATAAGTATTTTTGAAGCTAACTTTAACTTTGATATTGTTTAGAATGAATGTATATAAAGAAGGGTACAATGGAATAAGGAAATAAAAACGAGCCAAATATGTTATATATATCCAAGACACGAACAAGTAAAGAGACACACAATAGGCCCACCACTGGTACAGAAACCAACTTTTTAGTGTTATAAGCCTTCAGACTTACCGTTGAGTCACTGGGGGGGGGGTCTTAGTAGAAAGGTAGGAGGAACACATGAACAGATCAGTGACGACATCGGTGGCGTGTCTAGCAGTGTTCGAGAGAGTCAGCGGATGGCTACTACCGGCTCGGTGGCGTGTCTAGCAGTGTTCGAGAGGGTCAGCGGATTGCTACTACCGGCGACTCATGCTGTATGTTCTATAGTCGAGAACAATGAAGACGGTTGTGGTGCTAGTTTGTTTGACCATCCTAACAACAGAGATATGGACACGCCAAGTGCCTACTATCTACGATGTTCTGTCTCTTGTCTATAAACTTTGTGGTAAGCGTTGATTAATATTACTATTATTTTGCTGTCAAACCAATTCTTATGCATAGTTTGAACATAATACATTATCATCTCGTATAAATATTCCATTGAATACTAATCCTGATATAATAATAATATTTTTTTGGCTTTAGAGTTAGAGGGAATATGATTGAGGTGTTTAAGATTGAAAAGGGAATTGATAGTGTTGATGTATCATCTTTTTTTATATTTAACAATGAGAATAGTAGGACTAGGAGACACAAATATAAATTATAGCAGGGTAGGAGTCATCTTCAGCTAAGACAGTTTCATTTTTCTAACAGGGAGGTTGGCCTTTGGAATGGGTTGTCTTCGGATGTTGTAGAGGGAGTAAATTTAAGTGAGTTTAAGAAAAAGTTTGATAAGTTTATGAAAGATAAGAGCTGGGTTTAAGATTTTTTTTTAATTATTTTAATTTAGTTTAGATGATGTAACAGTCGAGATGGACCAATAGGTCCCATGTTGTCCCAAAACATTATGTTATATGTTATACTAAAGTTATGTGTTATGTTATATGTTGTGTTATGTGTTATGTTATGTTATATGTTGTGTTATGTTGTGTGTTATGTGTTATATTATGTGAGGAACATACTGAACTGAATAATTAATTCAAAAGTACATTAACAGACACTTTTACAGTAGACACATTTTTATTGTATTTTGAATAAATTTATTGAGTTTAACATAATAATAGGTTTGGGGGATAATTGTTAAATTCGTCTTCATATTTTAAATAAATGTAAATTGCTCAAAGTAGTTGATGTAGTTTAAAGTTTATTTTTAGAACTTCGTGGTTTTATTAAAATTGTGAAAGGAAAGTTGAAAATGTCGACCTCGTGCTTTAGGGTGAGGAATGTTAAGGTTCAAAATAGGCACAAGGAAATATGTAAGAATAAGTGAGCTGTTGATTTCTTCAGTCATCCCCCCTACTGTCTATATATATATATATGTGTGTATATGGAAAGAGGGGAGCATTGTGCAAAAAGCAGAATACGGACTGACTTTAAGCGTGTCATCAAATATATTATTACACAACTATGATTAAAATAAAATAACTATGAAGTAAATGACAGAAATAAAGTTAAAAAATAGCTTGGATCGACACACGCATCACTTAGATTTGAATAAATAATACTTCATCAGAATTAAACGATTATATACTTAGTGACGTAATACTCCATCAGAATTAACCAATTATATACATTAGTGACGTAATACTTCATAAGAATTAACAGATTATATACATTAGTGACGTAATACTTCAGCAGAATTAACAGATTATATATATTAGTGACATTAATACTTCATCAGAATTAACAGATTATATACATTAGTGACGTAATACTTCATCAGAATTAACAGATTATATACATTAGTGACGTAATACTTCATCAGAATTAACAGATTATATATATTGGTGTTTTCTACAGAAGCACTCATCTATGCACAGTCTCTTGGACAAGAAAATTAGAATTTTAAAATTTTAAAGTTGTTTGTTTGTAGTTAAACGCAAAGCTATCTGTGCTGTGACCACCACGGGTATCGAACCTGGTGGTTAGGGTCCTCGGCTCGCAATCTTGCGGTTTCGAGTTCTATCACCTAATACGTTCGCCCTTTCAGCCGTAAGGGCGTTATAACGTAATGCTAAATCCTTCTATTCTTTGGTAAAAGAGTAGTCTGAGAGTTGACTGGCTTCCTTCCCCTAGTCTGTCATTTTTAAATTACGGACGTCTAGCGCAGATAACCTTCGACTATCTTTGTGTAAAATTCAACAAATAAACAAACCTCCAATATTTATCAAACAGTAAATACACAATGGCGCTACTGGAGATTTAATTAACATTGTTTTTAATATGATAAAGTGGAAGGTTTTTTTTTTTTTTACAAACTCCGTTGCCATATAATAAAAGAAAATGATATACTAAAAGCTATTTAACATCCAGTGTGAGAAACCATTTTAAAAAACAAACAGAATCTAATGTCATATGCATGATATAAATAAACACCAGTACAATAAATATTGATATAAATAAACACCAGTACAATAAATATTGATATAAATAAACACCAGTACAATAAATATTGATATAAATAAACACCATTACAATAAATATTGATATAAATAGACACCAGTACTATAAATATTGATATAAATAAACACCAGAACAATAAATATTGATATAAATAAACACAGAAGAATAAATATTGATATAAATAGACACCAGAACAATAAATATTAATAAAAATAAACACCAGCACAATAAATATTGATATCAATAAACACCAGTACAATAAATATTGATATAAATAAACACCAGTACTATAAATATTGATATAAATAAACACCAGTACAATAAATATTGATATAAATGAACACCATTACAATAAATATTGATATAAATAAACACCAGTACAATAAATATTGATATAAATAAACACCAGTACTATAAATATTGATATAAATAAACACCAGTACAATAAATATTGATATAAATAGACACCAGAACAATAAATATTAATATAAATAAACACCAGTACAATAAATATGAATATAAATAAACACCAGTACAATAAACATTGATATAAATAAATACCATTACAATAAGTATTGATATAAATGAACACTAGTACAATAAATATTGATATAAATAAACACCAGAACAATAAATATGAATATAAATAAACACCAGTACAATAAATATTGATATAAATAAACACCAGTACAATAAATATTGATATAAATAAACACCAGTACAATAAATATTGATATAAATAAACACCAGTACAATAAATATTGATATAAATAAACACCATTACAATAAATATTGATATAAATAGACACCAGAACAATAAATATTGATATAAATAAACACCAGAAATTGTACTGGTGTTTACTTATATCAATATTTATTGAAGTATTGATATAAATGAACACCAGTACAATAAATATTGATATAAATAAACACCATTACAATAAGTATTGATATAAATAAACACCAGTACAATAAATATTGATATTCTCCATGTTTGTTACTATTATAATTTGGTTAGTCTGGTTTTGAACGCTACAGCTGATTTGGAAGTTTGTCGTGAAGTTGTCCACGATGATTTGGTGAAGAAAAACACAAATGAACCGACATCTCAACGTTAAACTAACCTCACCGAGGAGTAAAAAAATAATAGATAAGCCAGAAAACGTATTTAACCACTGTTCGTGCCCGAAAGATGGCGCTTTAATTACTTGTTTCTTTGCAGTAGTTCTACGGAATTTAATAACCAATAATTGTTTCTTTGTAGTTAAACACAAAGCTCCACAATGGGCTATCTATACTGTGCCCTCCACGTGTATCGAAATCCAGTTTCTAGTGTTATAAGTCCGCAGACTTGCCACTGAGAGGGGCGAAACCAGTAATAATTCAAACTAACTTCACCATTTAGTCCTAACATTGAACCTGATACCACACTATACAAAAATGATGTTTTTACAAACAAATAATATGTGAGGGGAATAAATTAAAATATTTTTATATAAAATGCACAGATTTTCAACGTTACTTTATAATTTCCAGTTTTTCCCTGATGAATAGAAGTGTGCTACTTTTCAAAAGTGCTCAGGTTAGAGGGTTTCTTATTATTGTCTTTAATAGGATTTCCCTTTTCCTAGTATGATGAATTTTGATAATGTTGATAAATTTTAAAACTGAAGAAGTAAACAAGTACTTGAAGTTATTTATTTGCGCAAAGTGTCCTAATTCTTCTTATACACAGCGGTATGTCTGCGGACTTACACCGCTAGAATCCAGGTTTCGATACACGTGGTGGGCACAGTACAGATAGCCCATTGTGGAGCTTTGAGCTTAACTACAAACAATCTGTATGAATACTTTTTATGTGGAAAACAATTTCACTCGGATTTCCATAACATTTTAAGCAATTTACAGCTGTAGAAATAACGGCACACTACTGCCACGTAGTGAAATAATTATAACTTAATACTTAATTTACATTATCAATACGAGCACTTTACTTTGCGGTCATGAACCTGAAAGCTAGCTTTACTGATATACATAGGTGTATTCTGCAAAAGCTTGCCGTTTTACTACCGTGTGGGATCGAACCCAGAATTTTTCTAAACATTGTAACTCGTTTATTATTTAATTTGAGAGAAAAAAAACTTCTTTGAAGATATTTACATTGTGATATTAATGAAGATAATTCATTATATATATATAATTATATATATTCATTATATATATATAATATATAATATAATATAATTCATTATATATATTCCAGTTCAAATTATCCATTTTTAACAAATTCATAACTTGTTCACTTCTGACAAT